TGGGTGTGGGGCTGGGTGCTTGTGATAGATGTTTGTATCCTTGTGGCAGATTCGGTCAATCGCTTTGCCATTACAATATACAAAGTTATGGCAATGCTACACTGGGGAGTCCAGAGCCCTTTTAACTGCACTGCACTGCAGTGCGGTTCAAGTTGCCTTTTGAGCTGTTGTGGATTTGTATCGAGATTGCGGCACAGTCAGCTTCAAATTACAAGCAAATAAAGCGTCAAGCAGCACGCCCACCCACCCAGAGCAGGAGCAGCAGGAGCAGCAGCAGAGTTGAGTTATGAACGTGCTGGGAACAGGAAGCCCAACGAATCGAAGCCAGAGGCAACGAGCCCAACACCAGGAACAGTCCTGGCCGTAGCCGGCCATTGAATGCAAGCACAAGAAAGAAGAGAGAAGGTAAAGTAAATGTGCAAACATTTATTTATGCGCCAGCTATGCAGCACTTTAAAGCACTTCAATTGCCCTGATTCATTCAGTGTACTGGGAGCAGAAGCAGCAGAAGTTGCAGTTGTAGCTGCAGCTGAGGGGAAGATTGGGAGTGGTAACCCAAACAAATGCTGTTCGAGTGGATGCTGGACAACGCTTACGAATGACACTAGGCGAGCTGTCTGTCTGTCTTCCCCCGTCTGTCTAGCTGTCTGTCAGGTAGTTTTGCCAATTCAAATTTCAAATTTGTCGAGAATTTGCAATTGCATTCTTCTAGAACCCGCAGCCCAGCCAGCCCCGCCTCAAGTGCAACCCTATAGCATTAATATGCCAGGCTGTGGCCCATGTGGCATATGCATACCCCCGCCTCAGCTCCCAGTCTCCAGCTGACCCTAGGCAGCATAGATTCCACAGCAATCGAAAATGGAATTAAATGTTTTGCAAACACTCGAACGCGTTTGCCTTTACTGAAGCTAAACCAGCAACAGCAACAACAACAACAGCAGCAGGACGAACAGCAGGAGCTGCAGGAGGAGCGGCAACAATAACAAACAACACCAGCATTTCCACAGGATATAAATTAAATTTTATTGCCAACTTTGGTCCGTTTGCGCTGTAAATTGTGATGGATTCCCGCCATTTGGCTTGTATAGTTGTAACACCATAAAGGCACATAAATATACCAGCACACACAAACACACACATATATACATGTATAAATATCTATGTATACGTATATGAATAGAAATATAAGTATGCACGCTGAATTAGTGTGCGAACTAATGAATAACAATTATCCGTAAACCATATCGAGGCAGTAAATTAACTCTGTTTCCCATATGAATAGAGCGAATTCTTTATAGCTCCAATATTTTTAATCTGGCCATTATGCTGCTTCTGCTGCTGTTGTACAAATGTGTGTGTAATGGGAGAACGCAGAGCGGGCAGCGAGACCTGATGTAATGCTCGTCTAGACCAGCAACATGAGAAGGCTGAGGAATGCCTAGAGCGATGAGCTCCAACTCGATATTTTTATTCAACACTTTGCTAAATTGCATTTATTAACGAGCTTACTGCTAAATGTAATGGCAGATTAATCTCAATTTCAATATTATTATTCCTGTATTTGTATTTATTTATTTATGTATTCATTTATTCAAGTATTAATTTATTAATTAATTAAAATATTTTTTCGAATATTCTGTTTATTTTTTTATTTTTTTAATATTTATTAATATTTTACAGGATCATCCTGGTCGGAATTCTGAGTATTTCTGCTACGAATTTTCTCCAAGTATGTACTTATTTAATCGAAGTATTTCGCTCAACTTTTTCCTGTAAGTATGTGTTTGAAGCTTTTTTTTAAGCATATCTCCAAGTATTTCCTCCAAGTATTTCCTTAAGTATATTCTACTAGTATTTCCTCTTAGTATTTCCTTTTAATATTGCCTCTTAGTATTGCCTCTTAGTATTTTCTCTTAGTATTTCCTCTTAGAATATCCTCTTAGTATATCCTCTTAGTATTTTCTCATAGTATTTCTTCAAAGTATTTCTTATTAGTATTTCTTCTTGGTATTTCCTTTTAGTATTTCGTCTTAGTATATCCTCTTAGTATATCTATCCTCTTAGTATATCTATCCTCTTAGTATATCCTCTTAGTATATTCTTTTAGAATATCCTCTTAGTATATCCTCTTAGTATATCCTCTTAGTATATCCTCTTAGTATATCCTCTTAGTAGATCTTATTAGTATATCCTGGTATTTTCACTTAATATTTTCATTTAGCATAGTTGAGCTTAGTTGAACGACCACTTCACTTCACTTTACAGCACTGACCTCCACCAGGTCTGGGCGACTGAAGAAATGCTTCAGTTGCTGCCCTTTATATAGGGCGACCTTCACTCAAAGCCTCAGTCGCGCTCAAATGTTGAGTTCGGCACTAGGTAGAGATCGTTGCAGTCGAACAAGCGAGAACAATGAGAACACTCTCCGCTGTTGCGAGCAAATATAAATATCAAATGAACTCTGATGTCTACAATTAATGATTTGTATTCGCTTGCTTTACTTAGGCAGACAGACTGTGAGTTAGACAGGGAGACACACAGGGAGCTAATTTGCAGAGATTTCAACACAACAGCATGTGCTCGAGTAGGATTTGAGTGAAAAGAGTAGAGAGTAGAAATAAATTAGAATAGATTGATGCATACTCTCTTAAGAAGTTACTAATAACGGAGCGAAGGCTGGTCTCAAATAGCAGTCTTATTAGCAGCGCTGGTTGCAGAGAGCGGTATCTTAAGGTTAAGACTAACTAAAAGCTTTGGTATGTATTTATATATGCGCATATGTATGTCAGATAACAAATACAATTTCTGCAGCCTTATTGCTTGATAGTTGTGACATGCAAAGTCTTAAAGCGCCATGTTTACTGCCAAACTTTATACGCAACACAGTTCTGAATGCCTCTGCATAGTCAAGGGACAGTCTATTATCTTAGAGCCGATCAATTGAATGTATGTATATGAATGTATATATATATTTATATTATATTCAATGCCAACCATTATGTGCGCACATAAGTTTAGTATTTCGCTGGCATTTAGCAACGCCCTTCGCATTATTATTTGACAGAGCGAAGACTTTTCAGTTTTAATGAGCACTTGGGCGAGTTTTTCATTAGTTGGCGTCGCTTTAATTAACAAAAAATGTTTCGCTATCCGAAAGAAAAGGGCGCAATAAGACACATGAGCTTCAGCCCGGGGCACATTTGAAAATGTTGCTGACGGCTGCCAAGGAACAACAGCAAATAAAAAGTCGCCACTAAGTAGAGTTGTTTTTCCCCTATTTTTTGTTGTTTCCTTTTTTGTAGTTTTGCAAATGTTGTCCATTTCTCCTCGGCTCGTTGGGAAGATGGGGCTGGGGGCTGTTGCACTTGGCGTTAAAAAAGCGGAAAATCGCAGCACATTTTTGCTTTTTAATTAAGCCCTCCATTTTTTATGTGCCTTTCGAAAGCGACACGGCGTGATTCTCTCCGTGCACGAAGTGTGAGAATAGTTTATTTGCCAACAAAGCCCAAAAGGGCGAAAGTAACGTGCGTGCCAAGGGCCGCACACGACCAAGGGTTGGGGCAGAGCAGAGCACAGGCACGTTGGTAACGCCAATCCTGTTGGCCAAATGACAAGGCACACTACACAAGAGTCTAATTGAAGGGCAGAGCATGTCATTTTATTTGGCAATCCAATACGGTAGCCTGATTTACTCTGAAATAGTTATGCACACGTAAAACCCTTTATTTTGTAGCGATATAATGCGCTTTGATAACTATAAGATGCGAAAGTTAAATTTAAGTCTGCCCAAGCTGGAATATGGAACGTGAAGGCGATCGAGTGGGATAGACACATAAGCTTCAATAAAATTAACATAATAATTTCAATGCGATTTATAAAAAACATTTTATATATACTGACCAAAATATATAGACTTTTATTTTATAATTTATATATTATTTTTAATTCAATCTACTTTTAAATCTATAATATATAAATTATAATAATTGGCTTCTTGGTTTCAATGCCAAAAAAAGTGTCAGGTAAGGTGTGCTTATGTTAAACAAATAAAGTCCATTTCATACTTATATACAATTTATAGAGCCGATTGATTTGCTCTTGAAGATCTCCCAACCATCCATATCAATCACAACAGTTTCACGTAAACAAATAATAAATGATAATGCAAGAATACTCATTTAAAATGTTAATTTTAACATTTTTGTTGTTGGTAAGTGGAATTTCTGGTAAGCCGTAAAGCCAGGTAAATTGCAAATTCAAATTATCGGGATTCCTGTGTATATCTACTATATTTAGGTTTTTCCACCTTCTGGAGATTTTGTTAGCATTAGCACGTGGACGACTCTGCACCTTGAAGGGAAGAGGTTACCTGCAGCGACGACTCATGTTATTAGATAAGCACTTAAAGCAAAAGACGTTGGTCAAAGCACCGTCGATCAATTCACCATTAAGTTGGTGCTCTTAAGAGTTAAGTAAACTTAAAGCAGATCTTCCTGTTGGAAGATAGCCCAAGCTCTGATTATTAATGATACAACAGCAACTAATGATACAATAGGAATTATCTTAAACTTACAATAAGTGGACAAAAATTTTAAGATCTTTGAAAGAGAAATGGGAGCAGATATATTTGGGCATTCAAATAGTAAATTATTTTATGACTGAGTATATTCACTTCTGAGTGAATTTCATTTTAAGAATTCAAATCAAGATATAGAAGACATATTACAATGATATAGTAGACACACTTTGGCTTTATCTATGCGACTTCCAATTTTAATTAAAAAGTAAAACCATTTCCATTTGCATAGCTTAAATTACATTTACTCAAATACTCTCATTACGCCCTCGTCAAGTCTTATAAATAGGGCAGAATGTTCGGTGGTGCAGTCAGTCAAAATCGGTGACAGCAACTGAACAGACGTACGTATTACCAAGTCGAGTCGAGTCGAGCAGAATCGTGCTGAGTTGAGTCAAGTAGAGTCAAGTCGAGTAGAGTCGGGTCTAATGAGAGTACATATTTATTCATTTGGATGTAAGGCACGAGTTTTGGAAGCAACACGTAGTGAGAATAACATTAATTGATAAGAGGTGACCGAACGGTTAATGGGTGGGCGAGCTGAGCAGACGTGGAATTCAAACTGGTTTTAGGAACTCAATGATACGATACTGCAACGTTACGGGACTATAGTTGACCAGCTTTACGCCAAATATGTTATACGAGTCTACCAGCCAGTCCTTGGGCTCGTCATCGTTGTTGCGTTTGGGATCGGCTATCTCTTTGCGCAGGGTCAGCAGAAACTCGCCCAGAACGATGCGGCGATGGGTCGGTGCGATTGGCTCGGGGATCTGCGACTCCTGCAGCACGTCCCTAATCTGTTGCAGCATCTCCTGCTGCTCCCCGGAACTGGCAAAGTCGCACAAGTCGCGAAGGCCCACAAACATGATATTCGCATACACATAATTGCGTCCCCTCTCGACCAGGCGCTGCACGGAAATGGGCACCACCTGGCACAGGTGCTGGCTCTCGAAGCGCACCAGCTTCGTGTACTGCAGGTTGCGCTGGCTCTGCGTGAGCCCGTAAATGGCGCAGGCGCCCTGATCCGTGCAGCAGCTGCGGATGCGGCTCCAATTCGCCAGGCGCACCGCCTCGATCATCAGGGTGGCCGCCTGTCGCACGCCCATCAGAAAATCGAATTCGTCGAAATCGGGGCCCAGTGCGCGGCGCAGCTTCCACATGCAGTAGCGCGAGCGGAGGCCACTGAGCCAGAGCATCAGGCATGGGCGCCAGCCCTGGCGGCGGTAGCTCATATAACTCACTTCTCGATTTGGGGGCGTGCAGCGCATGGTACAGCGAACTAGCCACCAGCATTTTGCTCGACCCTGGGGCAAAAGAGGCAACGACACGGCTCGCACGGACTTAAACATATCTAAACAAAAGTGACTATCAAAATTTTAATTGCCGAAACTAAACACAAAAACAAACGCAACTGCGACTGCGACTAAAAATTCGATTTTTATTGGATCACATTTCCCGAAGCAAAAGAGAATTGATTTTTGGCAAAATAGGGTTAACGATTTGAGTATTGAATAGGTTACATTTTATACAAATTTAATATCATTTTGTGATTCAATAGTTGTCTAAATATGTGTTGTGTAAATATGTGTGCATATGTGTTAAACCTAAGCAAAAGTATACAAACATATACATATATACAGTAGAACCATAGATATGATCATCATCTTTCCTCTATATTAAATTTAAAATATACATGGTTCTAGCATGCGATTACGAAAGCTGGAAACCGGAATATTGTTGATAAATCATATTTGAAATTAAGTTATCGTATCTGTGTGTCAATCTGTCTGTCTGTATGTGCTATCCGCCGATCTCATCAATAATTCGATTTTGAAACAAGAGAGTTAAAGTTAGAGTTGGAGAAATAAACTCCCATTACAGAGATCAACTTTGTTTCAAAGGATCGATCAATTTTTTCTCCTTCAATATAGTGGCTTGCAGCCTATTTCCAATAGCACCTTGAAAAACTGAGCATCTATAAAATATAAAAGAGATTAAAAAGCATAAATACAACTTACTCATTCATAATATTTTGTTTTATAAATATTTCAAAGACATTTATATAGAAATAGATTAATCAGGGTATCTCTAGGTCGGTCACTTTTAACTAATCTTCATTGGATTTCTCCACAGCATGCCTGAATTGATGTGCTGCATTGTCGGCCTTTTGCTGCCAGCTATCGTTCTATCGCACGATAGTTCCTATCGTTTACCCAATGCACTAAAGCCGCTGCACTACGATCTGCGTATATTAACCCACCTGAATGCACCCCAAGATCTGCGCTTCGAGGGCACTGTGCAAATCGACTTGCAGGTCCTGCATAACACAAGGGATATAACGCTGCATGCCATAAACTTGACCATAGATGAGGCACGCATTACTTTGTCAACGCGCAACGGCAGCAGAAGTCACAGCGTAAGCCGCATTGAGCGCAATGAGACGCTCGAGTTTTACACCATGCGGCTGGATGGGGAACTGCAGACCCATGAGCAGTATGTGCTAGGCATACCCTTCAGCGCAGCCTTGAATGCCAATGATGTCGGCTACTACTCGAGCTCCTTTCGCGACCCAAAGACGAACCAAACGCAGTGAGTACAAGGATAGTTAGATCTTCGATTCAATCTCTGTATTCTTTGGGTTATTCCCTCAGCTACTTGGCGGCAACACAGTTTTCCCCGACCTTTGCACGACTCGCCTTTCCGTGCTTCGACGAGCCGCATCTGAGAGCCACTTTCCAGGTAACGCTGGGCTATCATAAGAACTACACCGGAATGAGCAATACGCCCGTCAGCAAATGCGTGGATCAGTAAGTTTCTGACCGACTCAAAAGATCCTTCGTGGCTTCGTGGCTTGAACAAGATTGTCATTGCAGTGGTACGCTTAGGGATTATGTGTGGTGCCAGCATGAGCCGCTGCTTAGCACATCCACCTATCTCGTGGCCTACGCCGTGCACAACTTATCTAGCCTGCCGGTGGTGCACAGTGAAACGCACAACAACGTCTCCTTTCGCAGCTGGATGCCACCAGATGCAGTTAGGGACGGCTCTTTCACTGCGAATTTCGGACCTAGGGCTTTGAGCTATTTGGAGAAACTCTTGAAGTTCGTGTTTCCCTTGAGGAAGGTGGATCAGGTGGCGCTGCCCTCGCATAAATTCAGTGCTATGGAAAACTGGGGCCTGGTCACGTTCAAGCAGACCAGATTTGTCCATTACGATGACGAGCTGATGCAGGATAAAGAGGATAAGTCGTTCACCGTGGCACATGAATATGGACACCAGTGGTTCGGTAATCTGGTGGCCATTAGTTGGTGGAACGATCTGTGGTTGAAAGAGGGACCCTCCACGTACTTCGGAAACCTGGCCCTGGATGCTCTCATGCCCGAATGGGGCAGCCTCCAGCGCAGAGTGGCAGAGGACCTGGCTACGTTCTTTTGCAAGGATATGTACAACGATACAATCGCCATTTCACGCGATGTGCAGGACTCGAAGAGCATACTGGGTCAGTTTACTCCATATGCGTACGAGAAGGGATCCCTCATGATGCGCATGCTGCACAAGTGGCTGGGCGACGAGGTCTTCTTCATGGGCATACGCAACTATTTGCGGAGGCATGCTTACGACAGTGTTAGACAGTCGGATCTGTGGCAGGCCATGCAGGAGGCGGCAGACCTGCAAGGCTCAGGCGCAGCAGCGGGTGACATTCGTCTGGCCACTGTAATGGACAGCTGGACATTGCAAAAGGGCTATCCGCTTCTGAATGTGATTAGGAATTACAGTTCCAGTACCGTCTGGATTGATCAGGCTCGTTTCATGCTGGCAGCTGATGGCGGGGAGCCCACTTGCTGGTGGATTCCGCTCACGTTTGTCAATCAACGCCAGGGAAACTTTGACGAAACGCAGCCCCAGTTCTGGCTCGAGTGTCCAAGCACGGGCAAGACATTGCGCCTACGCAAGGACCCCGCTCCCAACGAGTGGATCATGCTGAATCCCCAAGTGAATAGCATTTACCGCGTCAACTACGATGAGCCCAATTGGCGAATGATTATCAAAACACTCAACTCGGCTGACTATGGCTCTATTCACGCACTCAATCGTGCCCAATTGCTGGATGACCTCCTAATGTTGGCCGCCACCCGAGAGCAGAGCTACGATTTGGCTTTCTCGATGCTGGAGTACTTGCCGCGCGAGGCAGAGTTTCTGCCCTGGGATAGAGCCGTTGCCATGCTGAACGATCGCGGTCAGCTGCTAAGGGGCGATCAAGAAAGGATCTTCCGAGTAAGCAATGAAGCTGCAGCTGATGCAGGCTAGACAAAGATCGTATCTAATCCTATTCATTGCAGACGTTCATGAAGAAGCTGGTGACACCGCTCCTACTTCGTACGCCCCAGCTGAATTCGGCGCAGCTGAGAGCCAAGTCAGGTTCATTCGCTGCCCTCTATCGGCTGGCCTACAAGGAGGCTTGTCGCTACGACGCGGCCGACTGCATCAGCCGGGTGGAGGGCTTGACGCAAGACGATGCGAATGGCAGTCAGGTGTCGGCTGACTATCGGCTTATTGCGGACTGCACGAGCATTGAGCTTGGCAACAATGTGCTCTTCCAGGCGATACTGAAACGCTTTCGAGCCAGCGATTCCGATGCCAAAAAGAGTGCCTGGGCCACAGCACTCGGCTGCAGTCGTGACTTTGGTCAGCTGCGACCTGTCCTGGACTATTTGATACAGGCAACTGACAAGGTCACATACAATTACTATATGCAAGCGGTCACATCGGCTTTGGAGCGCAAGCACTTGGCCACAGAGATCGCCGATCACATTATGCAACATGCCAAAGCAATCAAGTAAGTTGACTGTATTCAATTACCATTCATTATCTTACTCACTGTGTCTCTCTCTCTCCCTGTCTCGCTCTGTTTTGCAGCAGCAAATTGAGTTTGAAGCAAATTCAAATCCTGCTCAATCGGATAATAGGCGATTTAATCACTGAGCTTGAGGACAATCAATTGAGGCAGCAATTGAGAGGCCTTGACAAATTTGAGGCTCAGCTGCAGGCGGCACTCGATAGGCGTGACACCAATCGCTATTGGCTGACAAACCGCGCCGAGCACTTTATTAAAGCTTTAACTAAACACACCTAGGAGCCCTGGCTGAGCTGGCTAATTGAGAGTCAGCTGCGACTGCTTTGGTTCTGTGAATAATAAAACTACATAGTCTAATATGGGTATAGCCCTCAACTTATTCATACGTCAAATTCCAGCTCTTGCTTAGCAGTCGAACGTCTGTGGTATTAATTAAGCCAATGATGATGAAGATTTCTTGGAATTGAAATTGAAAGGAATGCGTCTCCTTTCACTCGCCGTGCAGCGCAAACGGCGAACGTTCCAGCTTCCTGCTGTTTGGCCTGTCAGAAACTTGCCTTCCGTGCCTTTGACTTGTAAATTGCTTGACACGGGACATGACACACACACACATACAGAGAGAGAGAGAGAGAGAGAGACACCACACACGGCTCGCTTTTGTTTGGAATGCGACTTCACTTGGCATTTGACGTTTACACGAAAATGACAAAATGTTTCGCTGTGTGCCCCAGGCTTGACACGACCAGATGATTTGGCCTGTCTTCAGTCAATGTATTAGCTGTCCTTTTTGCCTGCCTTCTTCGCTAAATCCTCTTTCATATCCTGGCAATTAGTGAAATTAATCAAAGCGTCTTTAACTGATTCGCTATAGAAAGCATTCATTTTCTGTTATATATGGAATATATTTCAATTGGTCACAAAAATACCTCTCTCAATCCTTAACATGTGCATTCGGTATTCATTGTTTTTCATAGCCTAAAAAAGTATATTTAATTAACTTCGATAAGCTTAAATAAGAAAGTCTTGCTAAGCCTAAAAGTATGCAACAAAAATATATTCTTATAATCGGCAATTTTACAGGGTATGTAGACGCTAGCCTTAATTTCAATTACCTTCATAATTTATGAAATGCAAATGAAAAGTATCCCAAATTAACGGCATTAATGATATCGAAACATTTTTGTATATTTTATACACATATATTAAATTAATTAAATGTGTTTTGCCAGCCGATAAACGACATACCTGTGTGTACATGTGTGTGTGTGTGTGTGTGTGTGTGCATTGATGTGTAAATGATTTTAACACATATTGACAGGCTGAATTATGAGTGGCTCATGTTTGCATTCGCATCGCAACTTTTACTTATTTATTTATTATAAATTAATTGAACGACAACACGGCAATGTGATGCCCTTACAATATTTGCCTGTCAAATTATCAGCCTGCAAACAGAATTCCAACGACAGCAGGCATTCAAATTAATACAAATGATGTGCGCTCTGAATTTACAATTCACCAGTCGCAATTCGCAATCAGGCGGCAAGCCACAGGATATGAATTATAATACGCAGGCGATAAAATTGAAGTCAATGTTATTGCAAAATATTATCAGAGTTGAAAACGATTTGACATAATGCAATTGTTGCTCAGGGATTAATCAATTACATTTCTGATAACAACAACAACAACAACAACAATTTGCACGTTAATGAGTTGCAAGCTCTTTTGTTTTAATTGACTCTCGGCATTCCGGGAAAATATTAACTAGTTGAAAATTTAGCTAGAAATCAAGCAATTATGATAACAGCAAGCGAGAGTGAGACAACACGCACTGCATAATACTCGCTCACAATCTCTAAAACAATTCAATTCAAATTAATTATATGATGTGAATTTAATTATAACAGTTTCCGATTTGCAGCTACAAAAACTTGTATGCATAAATATATCCCGCCCCATTGGGCGTTTCCTTATCATATTAATTAGAAAAATAATAATATATAATAATCTAAGCAAAATATTCTGGTCTTCCATAAAAATTCTTCAAGAAGCAACATTGAATGTCATTCAACATGTGCATATGCGTGTGTGTGGGTGCCTGCCCATGTATGTGTGCGTGTCATTTTCTATATACATATGTGCTCTTTGCAGGGTTCAGGGTATCTCCTTTACATATTATTACATATTAAATTGCAGACGTGAATTTAATGTTTCATTTAAATTCTGTGATAATAATGGAAGAAGAGACATTTACTTTCTAGTCAACTTTCACGGGGCCAATTGAAAAGATTCGTCAGTATAACGTTTGCAGTTCCCCATTGGATCATTTATTAGTGTACATTGGGAGTCTTCCAAGATAGACATCGTAATTATCGTACGCTCGTTAAGAGTCAATATCAAATTGTCTGCTGGCATTTGGCTAGTCATTCGAAATTAGCCTAATTAGCTCTAATTGCATATCGAAGTGAATGGCTGCAATCGGCAGTCGGCAATCGAGCCATCTGGCGCATTCGAGCCATCTGGCGCATTTTTGTTATAGTTCATTGTAATATAATTGGGTCGCCGCCCGATGCATCAGTCGTGCAGTCGTCCTGGTCCTGCACCTGTCCGGGCTCGAGTTCGAAAGGCGCGTTTATTTCAATTATGGCCACACCTGGAGCTGCGCACTGGATTTAACTTTTGTTGTAAATTTTGCAGTGTGTTTGCCCATTTAGTTGCATGTTTATGCTTCTTCTCCTTGTGCTTGTGCTTCTTCTTCGTCTACGGTGCCATTTGGCAAGCGCCGTAAATTCAGTCAGATGAAAGAAGTGGAGCTGTGGGGAGAGGGAGCCAAACGAAACAAGAAAATGTTGTTTGTTTTAATGGCACCAAGAAAATAAATTCATTAAAAAGTTTTAGCCATGCGAATATTTAATGCAAATATTTTGCATTCCCTCCGGATATACATACACCTACATATATATATATATGTCTATGTGTATATAATTGCAGCACAGGTATATCAAATATCGATTTAGAGTTTCATTTAGTTTGATTTCTTGTTCGCCTCTCATTCTGTCATTTTTCAGTGCCTTTATCGACGTCATTAGAAACAAAACTTTACTTTGCATTTATTGCTTCCTTCCCGATGCTGCTCGGTTCTGTTTGAATTTTGCAGGACATGCCACTGTTACGGTGTCCTTTGTGCTGGCGCCGCCAGGCAGACACATTCATAGAAACTTGCCACCAATTGCCACAAAAGCCAGCAGCAGGAGCGGCAGGAGGAGCAGCAGCAGCAACGAATCCAAAAACTTGCAGTCAAGCAGCACAAGTTCCAGAGGTAGCTATAGCAACTATATGACTACGTCTACGTCTTGGACTGCTTCTACTTTTTCTCCTTCGGCTGCCGCTGCTTCTTCTTCCTCTTCCACATCTTAGATGGCAAACTTACAAATTTAGATTACAAGCACAATTGGCACACATGTTTGCATAAATGCTGGCAAGATTGTTTAATTTCGTTTAATTAAATTGCAAATATTTTATACAGCTCGTTGCTGTAGCTGCAGCACTTTACTGGCGGCCCTTAAATTCTCAATGCACCAGATGGACCGAAACTAGCTGCTCTGATCATCTTTTTGCATGCATGAGATTTTTGTTTCTACAGCTGCTGCTCCTGCTGCTGCTCCTGCTGCTGCTGCTTTGAATGGGCTTCCCAAAATGTGTGTAATTAATTAATTAATTTCAACATTGTCGGAAGCATCACAAAATGCAGATAGAGAATGCAATTTGATATCAACATCAGCTGCGGATTATTTATTTATTTTTCATGCAGAGAGTTTTTAGCTGAATAAGCTCTATAGTTGCATGAAATATCGATGTACAGATTCACTTAAGCTGCTAAGCACTCGAAGAAGTCCCATGCCATTATAGTAATTACATTTATGGCCAGACATCGAAACCCTTGCTGTGGTCGAATGCGCTGCGCTTCATTCAAATGCAAATTTCATTTACAATTGATTCAAGTCGACGGCATCCGGCTGACCGCTTCAAAGGCACCTGACGGGATGCACGCTCGCTGGGCAAAGCGCATAACCTTGAAACTAAATCGAAGGCCGAAATAAGTCCGCTCGCCTGTCCGCCTCAAACAACAACCTCGGCGCAAAGTGCCTGGCAGCGTAGCAATAACATTGCCGGGAAAACAGCATACCACGCGGCCAACAGCGTCAAGTTCAAAGAAGTCCCGCTTTTTAAGTGCCTGTCATTGTTGTTGTTGGGTGTGTTGGCACTGTTGCCACTACTCCATCTCCTGCTGCTGTTTACTCTGGCTCTTCGCAGGTGCCCGCCAGCACCCACACTGCCAAAAGAAAAACACTTTTAGCACGCATCGAAGGGGAAAACCAATAGAGCAATGCTTGAACGGACGCGACCTGGAGAGCCAACACGAAAACCGAACCGACTCGACAGGCATTAGGACACAACAACAACTTCAAAAGTGAGAGTGGGTGTGGGTGTGAGTGTGGGTGTGGGCGTGGACGTGGTGGGGCTGCTCAGAAGCAGGACATCAGCTGTGTTGTTGTTGCCGAGAAGCTGCCAGCAAATAGCTAGTTAAATAACTAGCGGTAAATATAAGTGCTTTTATTTCGGCATCAAGTGTTGCCGACAAAAAATAAAAAAACAAAAACAAAAGAGAAAAGAAAAATAAAAATAGCAAATAAAAAAGCAAGCAGCACTTGCGTAAAGATAATATTTTTTATCTGACAGCTGTGTGCATATTGTGGATCTCGTGAAATCTTTAAAAGACCTTATAATATTTTTTTAAAATTTTTATTAATAAATGATTATTTAAATTTGTTTAATTTTGTTTATATTATTAACTTATTTATTTATTTGGCATTAATTTATTTGTGCTAATATTAAATTATTTATATTAAATAAATATTATTACTTGTAGAGATATTATGATGAAGAATTATCATTTGAATTTATTAAACTTTTATTATTGTACTATTTGCTTTAGAGGCATTATTAATATTTTTTTTTTTTATTTTTTATTATTATTATAAAGTATAATTATTAAATTATACTTATTATCTATTAAATTTTGCTAACGAGTTTTTGTAGTATATATATAGTGAAATCAAAAATAAAATATTACTATTCAAAAGTTATTATTAAATTATTTGTATGGAACTATTATTATTGCTTACGATATATATATATTAAATATTTAATAAATATTTGATTTACTGATTCAAGTCCTGGTAACTAATGAGCAGCTAATCTTAACAGAAACTAAAAAATATATTTCTTAGGGCTGTATATGATATCGTTAGACCATGAAGAAGGAAAGAAGAATTTACAAAGGGGGGTACAAAGAGATAAATAAT